TTGTTTAGTCTGACCCACGTAGACTGGAATGGATGCTAATACAAGGTTAAGTCTGAGAAGCGCTTTATGACGTTGGAAGGTAGCAAGGGTGCGAATGAGGTAATAGACTCCATGGCGGACTCCTCGCACCTGAGTGATGGATTTTTTATGCCCGTGTGCTCTTCCGTGGCAGTTTATGGGCCATCGCTATGATTAGAATTTAAAATACATGCGCCTTAACTTGATCTTAACGGCTGACGTTAACAACAGCTGGATATTTTTTGCGATATTAAAAGACTCGGTGGAGGTTTTGTGAATAACGATCTCTATTATTTGAATGCAAAGAAAAATTCCTTCGATCCGTCTGTGTGTGAATTAGCTACCTCGCCATATCGTAGCTGACACTCTCCCGACTGAGGTACGGAACAAACCAGTAGACCTTACGAATTTTGTCTATGTGCTTGTTGGACGTATTTGTTTTTAACGTTGACTTTTATGCTGTAGCGCCATCTATGAGAGCTCTATGGAAGTTTTTCTTCACCCAGCCAGGTACCTTTACAGCTACCAGTGGCTAACTAGAGACGTCGCTTTAATAATTATAATATTGAGTTTATTGAATATCTCGACGTTTTACTACCATGATATTCAATTATTTTTGTGAAATTACTCTACTATTTAGTATAATGATTAATAACAAAGATCGAACACAAAGAAAAATTAAATAAACTAAATATAATAATTACATGTTCAACCGCCATTGCCATTGCTTCTCATTATAAATCCAGAGTTTGCAAATAACAGTTGCTCGATTTCAGAGTCGAGCAAAATGTGTTCTAGTGTAATGCAAACTCAATAAGTTATTTTTCATTATCATGCTGCATACAGCTCCAGGTGGGGCGGTGATTGCTACCGGCACTGGCTCTTAATTAAAACGTCTAATGAAACCCGCTCCCGACCGCTATCCTCGCCTGCATTTACTCTCAATTCTTCATCGGAACCATTCTCTGTTGTCGACTACGTTGTCGAAGTAAATAGCGAGAAATAAAAATAAGGAACATAACTTAATCTCATTAAAATTTTCCTGAAAGCGTTGCACTAAGCCATACTCAAAATTTCATCTCTTCATCGGAAATACTTTTTACTTTTGTAGTTACGTTAAAGTGAATTTTAAAATTATGCTAATGTGTTGTTATTATTGATACAAAGGCAGAACAAACATAAAGAAAAATTCCTTCGATCAGGCTGGAAATTTTCATAGATTTCTCACAGGTGGCGCTGATGCAAAAAAGTAGTTAAAACAAAAAACAAAGATCTGCGACAAGCGCATAGGAAAATTCGTAAGGCTCCAGACCATACCCGCAAACCTAGACTAGTCTTTTTCTTTATGATTACCATTGTACCTATGTCATAAGCTTGTTTGTCGTGTACTGTGATTCAGCAAGTAAACGAGCTATCTATCTATCTTATCTATATATCTATCAATCATTAAACAAGATATTAACCCTTAATTTATTCAGGCTACTTGCAGCTCGCAGTAAAAAAATGTGCAAGTCAGATTTCCTTACCTAACCAGTGCCAACCCAGCTATAGTTTTATTATATTATCATTAAGTCGATTGTAGATTTTAATAAAGCTGGTGAATGAATATTCTCGAAAGGGCTGCCTGGGATACAATGCAGTAAAATGTAAAATAAGAGATTTCGTCTCTTTTGTTTTTTATATAACTTCGCTGCACTCAACTCTTAGCACAAACCTGACAAAGCATTCTCGTTATTAAAAATACTTTTTTGTTGCCAATCAACGTAATGTTGATTATTGTTTTGTATAACTGTATAACTGAAATTTATTTCCATAAATGTATAACTGAAAATGTGAAAAAATCTTCAATTGGTAAAAGTGAAACGCTAATGAATGTGTTTTTATACATATATAATATCGTAATATAGTGACGGGACAAACAAGTCGTGCGCCTGATGGTAAGCTACATGCCTGTCCATAACAGTTGTAGTGCCACTCGGAGCTTTAAATCGTAAAGATCTGAGGGGCACCGCCACAGTACCCGTTACCCTGAGACATAAGGTGACAAGTCCCGTGTGCCTGTAATTTCGCTAGCACCCTTACCCTTCTGAATCCGGAAAGCAGGAATACTAACATTACTGCTTGGCGGTACAAATATGTAAGGTGACAGTACTTCTATGGACAAACTCTTTCACAACGCGCTCTACTGCTGTTAGCGTAGTGTGTAGTATATAACATGTATACATTAGAGATAGACCACATTCAACACATTCAAAACAAAATCAAACTTGCTACTACAGTATGAGATTCGAGAGTACTATTATTTACACAGTACAGTGCATATATAAGAAGTGTAGGTTGCAGTGTTGCCAGATGGTGACATTTCTAATATTTCTCATAATTTTTACCCTCTCGCGTAATATGTAAGAACTTTTGTTTTCAAGGCAATGTTTCTGACTTTTGAGAACGTTCACCATCATCAACCTATTTATACGTCCCACTGCTGGACCATAGCCCTCCACCCTGGCCTAGTGCGGGTTGGGAACTTTTATCGTCGTGCAGGTTTCATCACGTTTTCTTTCACCGAAAAGTTCATAGTAAATTTCAAACAAAATTTCGAACATAAAATCCGAATTCGAACCCACGGCCTTTGCTTGAGAGACGTTAAGTCAAACCACTAGGCCACTAAGATGCCACCAAGGCCATTTTTATACTTATGCAAAACTGGAAACCATATTGGAAAAATCTTCGATTGGTATAAATGACTCAAGACTGTGTAGTATACAGGGTGGAAATTTGTAATGCCACCTGGAGGGAAAGTACTCTAAATACTGGAGATATAAATTTTTATTTGAAAGAAACATTCCTTTATTTTTTAAAATAAATAAAACTGCATTCATAGATTTTCGAAAATTTTTAGCCACACGCGGGATTCGAACCCGCTTTAATCTGAAAAAAAAAAATGCACCCTGCATTTTATTGTAATCTAACTAATTAGTTGCTCGAAATGAGCTCCATTTTCTTGGATACACAAATTTAATCTTTTAACGAATTTTTTTCGTTTCATTAAAATACGTTAAGATCTTATGGTTTTTCTTTTTCATTTAATTAACCAATTTTGTGAGAGAGATTTTATTCTTATAATTAACCCTATCGATCGATGCAATAAAAGTGCAGGGTGTATTTTTTTCAGATTAAAGCGGGTTCGACTCCCGCGTGTTGCTAGAAATTTTCAAAAATCTATGAATGCAGTTTTATTTCTTTTAAAAAATAAAGGAATATTTCCTTTAAGTAAAAATTTTTACCTCCAGTATTTAGAGTACTTTCCCTCCAGGTGGCATTACAAATTTCCGCCCGGTATATAGATATGTAGTATATTGTATGTATACATTAGAGATAGAAAAATTACAGTACAGATATACAAGTGTAGGTTGCAGTGTTGCTAGATGGTGAAATGTCTTACATTTTTCGTAACTTCTGACCCTCTCGCATAATATGTAGGTAAAGAACTTTTGTTTTTTAAGGCATTGTTCGTAACGTTCTAACGTTGGTAATTATTAAATTCAACTAAGTTTGTTATAGTCCTAATAAATCCTAAATCCTAAATGGTTTCCGAACAGATCCAAATTAGACAATAAAGTTACTCAGAGATAGCAAAAACAAAATGACATCTACTGGTCAAAGCTTGATTTTTCTTGAGTATACCTATTACACAATTTGATTTTTGTAAAATTGTGTTTTTAGAAACAATTACACAATAGAAACAATTTGACGTGGTTTTGGCCCCGTTGTAGTGGAAGCGTTGGATCTTTACGTATATACTTATACTTTTTCTATTATGTAACTTTTATAGCAAAAACCTAACTTTTCAAGTAATTCAACGTTATTTCCGGCTCAAGAGCTCTGACAACACTTTTTTTAAATTGATTTGTGAAAACCAACGTCGTTACATCAGGTATTTTACATAGTACCATATAGGCTAAGGGTACGGCTAATGATAGGGTTCACTCGTCATTCTTGTACTGACCTTGGAGGCATCTCGTCTCCACCAGACCTAGTAAATACACGAAGTCTCACCTTTTTGAAGACCTACACCTGTCCTTACTCCTACCGCGTTTACGCGCCTGCCTGATGACCAGTACCTCGACTGCCTCACGCTAAACCTGGTTTTCACGTTTACGCTCCTCCTACCTGGACTGTGTACCTCACCTTCACCAAGCGAGTTTGGAGCAGCAGGAGTGACAGAAGGGGACGCTCAAGACGAAGTAGAACTCCACCTCCGAGTATAAAATGATAAAATCCACTGCTGCACTACCGCCGCTGTCGGCGCAGCCTCTCCACTCACCGCCTCTGCGCTGAACCCGCTACGCTCCGGCTCTGCAACTCCGCCCTCGGTTTCCAACCTCGGAGGGCGGAGGCCCGCAACTTCGTGTACCCGGCTTCGAGCTTCTCCTATCTTCACCTACACAGTACACTGTCATTTGCACCACACCACTCAACTCACCTACATAATAACGCTCTCAGGTTCTTTTATTATAAACTTATTGTTATACTTCATCATTCTCCTTTTTTTTTGATTGCATACCTTTCGTCCTTCTAGTTCCTCTACCACCACAAGTACTAGATGTTGAAATGACAAACACAAAGTCTCGCTTGTTGTTTAATAACAATATAATAATCCTAGTAATGAGATGTGAATGTAAACAACTCGTCGTTATACTAAAAAGAAGCTACTAAAAAGTGACCTTTTTACTGAAGCCACTGTCTTTCTTGTCATCACCAGAATGGCAATAGGGAGTCACAAGTGTATTCTACTACCCTTCGTCGTGTTAGAAACCAAGGTTACCGGATACATAGATAAAAGCATTTTTAAATTACTTAGGTTACGTAGCTTGTCATCATACAATAATAATAATTGCGCAACCTACAACATTCTGTTTCATTTCATTGCATCCGAGAAACAGCGTATGAAATTGAAAATTAAATTAAAATGTTTGTTGCAGGAAAGCGGGCAGGCGGCACCGGTGCTAGTGGTGATCGCGCTCTCAGGGGTCAAGGTATGCGACCCCGACGATCAGGTAAATGTCTTCCTGTCCACACTCTACGCAGATAAAGCCTCTTCGTAATATTTGTATTATTTTTTTATTCTACTTACGAATCCAAACTAATATTATAAACACGAAAGTTATGTTTTCAACCGTTAAAGCAATATTGATGAATTTTGGTAAAGAGATAAATCGTCGCCGAACTTTCTCAAACTCGTATCTTAAAGCATAAAGTTACTGAAATGCAAAAAATGGATTGTACACATTGTACATACAAATTTTGCACGCTGATTTTATATCACATTTCCTTCATATTTATACACTAGCTTTTACCTATTCTTAAAGTAATGCATCCAAATTAACACCCTTCATAAGAAATTTAAAATAAATAGAAAATTTTGCCATCTCCTGAATAATCACTCCTTAAAAGATACGAGTTTGAGTAAGTAAGGTATCGAAATGGGACCTAGGAGAAGGATATAGGTTACTTTTTGTCACAAAAATAAATTTAAAAGAAAGTGAAATAGGGGATGAAAGTTTGTATGGAGAACTAATAAAACTATGACAATTAGTATATAATTTATAGGCTACTCGAAGTACTTATTTTACGCAGACGAAAAATGAGTACTTTGTATCTTTTTAGTCTATCTCCTGACACGTATCTGCCCGTGACTTTGAATGCAATGTGATAAATCAGAATCACAAATTTTTGGGTTGTGATTTTTTCAGATGAATTTCTGCAATCCGATTCCTCCCTCTTTTAAGGGTATTTAAACAGAAACAAAAACATACGTATTTCTGTATTTGCTTTGAGAAGTATTGAAGTCAAGTTTCGGATAGGAGTACGATTTTCTTATACAAACTAACACCTAAGGTTGATAAAAAAAAAATAAACACATTTTTATAAATTTCCTGTAGAGACTCTAAATTTACATACTAATTCTCACGTCTCTTGCTACGGTGGTTTTAAACTTCATACAGTACTTTTGTGGTTATTTCACTCTATAGGAGATAAATTCCGAAAAATTCCTTCTTATTTGGTGCTTACGTCGCAAAAGAAACCTACTGTCAAAATTACGTGTTTCTAGTTTTAACTCGAGACTTGACTTTCTATGTCTATTCTGCGTTATACATATAAAATAGGGTATAGTTTGTATACATTAAATAATAAGAAAAAAAAACAATTAAATTTTCCCTTTGCTATAATTTCAGAGAGTGCGCATGTCGCATGCTTTACGGCGTATATCTTATGCGACATGTGAAGCTGCGCGTGCGCTGTTCGCGTTTGTGGCGCGTGAGCCAAGACAGCCACACGCCATTGCGCCTGCTCCAGCTGCGCTTGCGACGCCGTCGTTGACCAACGGCACGCCAGACGTGCGGCAGTACTGCCACGCCTTTGAGACTGATACGCCCAACCAGGTTAGATTCTTTTTATAATAATTATTACTTTCTGGGCTCTTAAGTCAGGAATCTTAAGTTCTATATTCCGTAATAAGAAAATGTTGGAACGAGAACGACTTCTTAACTTGCAGATTAAACACAGCTAAAGTGCTCCAGAAATAAATTGAGCATTTAATTTAATTTAAACAGAAATAATTATGTTGTATTTAATACACACATGACAAACTTTTGAGATGGATGTAAATTATTTAAATGGAAATTCAATTTAAACTGTAAAACTTTGTTTTATTAACAACCTAACAGTATATTTACTACTTTCTCACTTTTGTAGTTGTAGGTTAACTCTAGTTATACGTTATTCCATTTACAATTGTTTGTGGTCTATCCAACTTTTACCAGTATAATTTAGACATATCTCTGTTCAGTTCTTCTTGCCTCGACTCAATCCATTCAAATTTATTCAAATGATTCTCTATAACTAATTCTTTCTTAGACAATTTAAAGACCATTCTCTTGAAATCTTCACATTTGTTGAGAGTAATGTATTAAAGTCTTAAATCTTTACAACTTTGCAAAACCGTTTGTTTTTAACAATGGTTGGCTTTATGAAAAACTCGACAAAGGAAAGTAATCCTTTTCGGAGTTTCTTTCTATTTCATTTTAATTTCTTTTCGCTTGTTGTGTAACGTAATCTCTTAGCACAACAAAAGATAAAGACGCTCGCGAGTTGAGTAGAGCTTTGCTAAGAACTGCGGTAAAGATTGTTATATTGCACTTGGTTAAGCTGTTTGTATCTTAATGATCTTTAGCGTTTCAATTTGTCTATTTTGGTAACCCCTGTAAGAAAGAACTGCTAGCAACTTTACAGATATAAAAATCTTTCCTTTGCCTTCTTACTTGTCTTCATCGTTCTATCGTAAGTATCCATTTCATTTCGCAAGCAATCTTTGGTCAGTGCAAGACTATCGATGATACTGCTCCCCGGAGTGTTGACATTACTTCACGGCTCTATAACGTGATAGTGTAGCGATTTTAAGTCTAACAAGATGTGACTGCGGTGCCTCAGTCCTGATATAGTCTATCCAGCACTTTCTCGCGTGCCCCTCGTGCCCTAATATCTGTACAAGGGAAGATCTCTACGTGGCCACCGATAGCGCACTGAAGGTGGTGGTGGTTACTATTCAAAGTCAATATAAGAATCATCGACAAGTAAAAGAAGCGATTTTGATCACAGAAGTAATTAGAGAGGCATTAAATACTTTAATTTGCAGAATTGAGGCAGCTATTCAAAAGTGTAGGTTAATTAACTTATAGGAAAGGAAACTATTTTTCCGGATTTAAATCGCGAATATTTGTATTTTCAAACAAACCGACGTATCAGGCCCTTTACAGGTCCCATGGTCACGGTGGACTGAGGTGGTACAGTCGTCAACCAGTTATGTCTAATATTAATGCAAACCAACCTATTTTTTCACTATAGTTACAATAGTTATCAATTAAATACCTTATTTTTAATTTTACAAAGAAAACATTGCAATTTACGCTACGTTAAGTTTTACAATTTATTTTATAAAATGAATTTTTATTACATATAAAAATATTTACAATCACGAAAACCTAAGAACTCGATATGAATTTTTATTAAGTTCAATTTATTATTAATTAATAATAGAAATTAAAATAAATTGATACGTATTAATTAGTACTGCAGTCTTATGTCTGTTTGGGATCTTTCATTAGAGAAAATACTGGATCCTAAACTGGTGGTACGGAGAAACTATCTTCCTTGTTGAAATTAGGATGTTTTTTAATTTCAATGGACTCTCGCAGCATCCTGGGTAGATAACGGACTTCTTTTGCAAGGACTTGGGGTTTGTCAAACTTCATTGAATGTGTAGGTTTATCCATGACATGCTCGCAGACTGCAGACTTGTTTACACGACGGTGTTTGACATCAGCTATATGTTCTTTGACGCGGGTATAAATACTTCGCTTCGTTTGTCCAATATAAGAGAGACCGCACTCACAGTCAAGCTTGTAATACATCATATACATATACATCACGGGTCTCAGGAACTGAGAAATCTTCCTCAGGGGCTTGAAATAGGTCTTGATAGATGCACGCCTGAGGACTCGTCCGATCTTGTCAGTAACACCTCTCACGTAAGGTAAAACGGCAGGTCTTCGCTCGACTGTTGGTGGTTTCATACGGGGCCTGCGGCATTGGCGTGGAATCTTCAACTTATTCGCATGTAGGACTTGCTTTAAATGCTGAAGTTCCCCTGCCAGATGATTACTGTCGCAGACACCATGTGCTCTCTGAAACAAAGATTTGCCCACGGTAGCTAACTGGCTAGGATGGTGATGGGAATTACCATTGAGATACCTATGTGTATGAGTTTTCTTTCGAAATACAGTATGGCCTAAGGTTTTCTTAGGATTTGTTTCAATTAAAACTTCTAAGAAAACTAAAGTACCACAATTCTCTTGTTCCATAGTAAATTGGATCTTAGTACTAAAAGAATTAGTTTAGTTCTAACGTCACCATGTTAGAACCGTCTAGTATCAAAATAGCCATCAGTTTCCAATTTTACTCATATAAAATTTTATATTCACAACAATCACTTCTTATAAGTGGATTTAATATAAAATGAATATTCCTATAACTTAGACCATAAATAACATTTGCGATGAGTGCATAAGCGGTGAACTGCTATTATGGCGTCTAAACTCTATTTGGTCTGAACGCATCGAGTGCAAGAGTACTGCTTGAGAACTTCGCTTACTTTAAACTTTGAAACTTCAGAGGTTCAGTTCGAAGTTTGAGTAGGTAAGGGGAATGTAACCAACTTGGATCCTCGGACTCAATACAAAGCATGAGACTCCGACGCTATTGCATCTAGGACACGGATTCGCTCTTTGCTTGCGGTTGCATCCGCTTTTAAAGGATATTGCGGAACTTTGGACAAGAACACAAGTTTATGAGTAGACATCTCTTTGGATACTTCTATAACACAGAATTCACATTCACGAGAAATGCTCCAGTAGCTCTTCAAACTTTATATCTTTATATAAGTAATATTTAGTAAAGTTGACGATAAACGACGTCCACACCCTCTATTTTGATTTTATTTTAAAACTTAAGACAAATGTAACGTATAGTATATTTTTAAGAGCGGTTACGTCCAAACATATGCTTGCAACGATTTTAAATTGCGTCTACTAATTGTGAGTCGATGAGATCTTGTCGGGTTTCCTGCGGCGCTCGCACAGTGGTATTCGCTTGACAGACCCGTTTATAACTAGTAATCAACCGACGCCCGGTGTCTAGCTTCCTGTCTTTATTCACTTCAGTATTAAACAAAAGATTCGGTATTGGAATGAATACATTTTGTCATTAGGATAACAATAACGAGTTTTGTTAGGAAATCCGCACCAAAAATTGAGTAAAAAAAAGTAGATTGTGTTTCACAAACGTTGCATTAATTTCCTTTTGCTTTTGTTAGTTAAAGACCTAACGATATATACCAGTAACTTTCATCAATTAAAAAAAAATTCTTTCATATTTAATTTTAGTTTTACATCCTGAACGAAAAAGTTGGAAATCGCGGTGAATTTTATTTATTGAATCGTTGAACTACTTACAAATATCGCCTGCCAATACGTGTAAAAACTAGATGTACAGTTTCTGCTTTTTGTTTTTAGTAAATTTTATAATTGTTTTCATAATTCTTCTAGGTTCAGTAAAGATAATAAGTGTGGTCATGTTGTGGTGCTTGGTCGCTTACATAGATTTTAATTGCAATAATTGTAATTCACACATATTCGAATCTCTGTATTTATTCCCCTCTGCAGGATTTATGATCATCTACAGAATTCCAAACATCTATTTCATCTATTATCGTTAGTTCGGATTGCGTGAAATCAGTAAACGACAATTAGTGAACAAAAGTATTTGATAGGCGACAAAACTGATTCGACATGACTAAACTACAGTGTCAGCAGTCGTGACTTCTCATGGCTTAAATGACTTTCAAATCAATAATTAAATAATTGAAAGCGTTCTCAAATTTGCTGAATTTCCCCATTATAACGGCTCACAGTGGTGTTTAAACGAGCTTTATGAACAGTTTGCGTGTAGTTTATAGTGAATTCTACATGTACAAGTAGAGTTATTATAATTATTGATCAGTGGATACCATAACGTATGATGTTGGAAAACCAAAGTATTAAATAACTTTGGATCTGCTTTTCACAATGAGAAATTATATCATACATTCGACACAATAGTGATCGTATTTAGAATGCCCGTGCGCATTCTTCTGAGCGCGACACGACCTTGTTGGCGGGGTGAGGGAGGACGTACCACATTCCAAAGCTCGCGAGCCCCGCGTTCGCCACACGCATAACTGCTAAAACAGTCCTCAACAGTGTCATTCGTTTTTAATTCGTTTTGTTAGCTATAACTCTTGCAGCCTTGCCGCCCATTCACTTGTCGTCACTGAATCACCGCTAATGGAGCTAAAAAACAAAACTTGATGAATTACTGCCCATTACGCCGCCGACGAATCGTCGTCGGGTTATTTCGCCTCTGTTGTACATATTATACAGGTGAAAACGGTTAATGCAAATTTTAATTGGAAGTTAAATAGCGATTTGAAAATTTTGCGAGGGTCATCAACCGGTGGGAAGCACTGGGCAAAGTTCGTCGGCTTATTGAACTAAAACTAAAAAGAGTGGCGACACAGGTGCGCAGGCGCTCGCGTTTCCCATTGTGCATGCGCCAGTTACCGTGAAGGCTTTACTAGAACTCGGGCTGGTGTCCGAACGAGTTCCCGTCCGCGCGATCAGCTCGCTCTGTCGTTGTTGCCGGCGTCAGTCGCGAGAGAGCCTGCACTGGGGCTGCGCGTGTGCCGGTGACAGCCCCAAACTTTTGGAACGAGTGTCATGTGTTAGGGAACAACGCGGGCGCGACGTAGTGATTGATTGTTGGAGGGCAACGCGTCGACGACGCATGG